CACACAACTAATTCCTTTAAACTTTAAACTTAACAATTCTCATATTTCAACCATTCATCTTTTTTTTTGTTTTTTCCTTTAGTACTTTTCAATATATTTTGATAAGAAATGTTTTTTTTTTTTTTTTTTTTGTATATAAATTCAGATTTTACTTGATAATTATTTGACTCGTATTGTTAATCCCTCCTCTCTCTTCATCCCCATAGATATATATATATATATGTGGCATAATAAATTTTCTTTTAGATAAGTGGAAGATAGGATGGGAATAAAGAGAGAAAGAAAAAGATGAAGAAAAAAGTCACGTATTAAGACTTTCTTCTTTGACTTTCACCGTCGTAACTAGCCAAAGTCATAGGCCACGCGCTGCTGTTGATGATCCACGATCAGATACACGCAACGTTCTTGCGTTCTACGTTATATCTTGACTTCTATATATATGTAAGTGGTTACTTTTAACATGGAAAGTAACATTAGTTATTTCGATAACTATATATACACCTACACACGTAACCACATTTGTCTCTCTAATTATGACACTTGAATTTCAAGCTATCTCAAATTTGTTTAACATTTATTTATTTATATGACAAAATGTACTTGTTAAATATATTTACTTCAATATTATATAATTATATTTTCTAATAATAATATATTAAATGTTACACAAAACAGAAATTGTGGTTTTTTTGTCGAAGGCTAGGAAAACATTACGAAACTTGGGGAATGAAATGCATCGGATGGTGGTGGTGGTGGTTGGTCGTTTCTGGGCATGAAATATATAGGTCGCTCGCGACGGCGATATCTGTAGTTGTAATCTGAGTGGAAACAAATCCTTGGAATGCACCGCGACTGGATTGAGACGTCGCTACACGATTGCAATTGCATTCGAGTTGCACCGCGAATCGAATGGCGCCGCCGCCTTTTACGTACCTCGATCCGAGTGCATTGTACGTATGTCGAACGATACGTATACCTATTTATGTATTTACTTATGTACACACATCTTAAACGTATAAAGCATATATACAGTAATCTTATACCCCTATCAAAAATCACTGGGGTTAATTTAATCAATAATAAAAAAAAACATCGGTTTTTAATAACCAAAAGATATAGAAAATGTAATTGTACAGTTTGTACATGAAAAAAAATATTAAATAAAAATAAAAATAGTCAATCAATTGGATTTATACTTAATCGAAAATAATTATTTTTATATATTGATATAAAAATGTAGATAAAATTGGCGATGTCAAATTGTGTAAGATAATCCAATATTAGTATAAATAGCTTGTACCACATAAAATAATTGATGATCTCAAGCGTTTAAGTGATAATTTAAATAAATGACAAAGTTATAGATGTTTATACGTCGACGCAGTGTCACTCATGTCAGCGTAAATTCAAACTTGGAAATGAATAAATATGGAGATATGTAAAAAGAGATAGGTAAGTCGTTAACGGATATATGTTCGAAGAAGATAAGCCATTTGCAATTTTATCGAAAGACTAACACCATAAGCGAGACACTTGATCCGTTAACCTCAGCTTTCCGCGTACAGAACTTGATTAATGCACGTTCCCATTTGGTGGTGGTACTCCTCCTCCTCCTCCTTCATCTCGTCTTCCTACTTTTTCATTTTCTTTTTTAATATCTTTTTCTTGTTCGTGTATTACACCCTTCAACAACCCTAGTAGTACCCATCGGTCCAGTCCAGTACTATCCTTTACTTGTTTATGTTCTCTTGAAGCGTAGTATTTTCTCGCGATTTTCTAAGTGCCGAGCATTGATTGATAACACCAGTGCTTCTGGTAGATTGTGTAATCAGCTCGTTTAACTTCCGATAGATTTTCTTTAACCCTTTTTATTATTTTGTTTTAGTTCAATTTTCTTTTTTACTTTCCACTCCATTTAATTAACGGTACTAATAACGTGCATTGCTCGTTTCCTTTTTTTTCCCCTTCAAATAATTCAATTTTCTGATTGAGAATAATTGCAATGCAAATTGTTAACTCGAGCGTAGATATTTAATTAGAATTGTTCTTTTTTTTTTTTCTGAAGTTGAATTATTAAATAACAATTTTACGTAATTGCAACATAGAGTAAGGAAGATTTGTAGATTATAAAAAATAGGAAAGAAAAGAGAGAAAAAAAGAACAATGTATCGGTGAAAAAATATTCGTCGAATGTTTTGCATACAAAGATATCGCGTTCGTTTTATTCGTCGAGAGTCGATAAATATATATCCTAACATTTTCTTTATTTATTCTTTTATTCCTATCTCGTGTTGTGTTGTATCAACATGGTGGAGGAGGAGGAGCAGGAGGAGGAGGGTGTTCAGAGTGCGTGAAAAGGAAGGTAGAAATCGTTTTGATATCTATCGAAGGTTCCAAGAATCTTCCAATTGAATCCTGTTTCAATAAAATATCTGTCTCGATCAACAGGATATGTTTGAATTGTATTTCTTTTTTTTTTTTTTACAATTAAAAAAAAATGACAAAGTATTCGGTACATTTTTTAACAAGTAGTAACATTTGAACAAGTTTGATTTTTCTAAGAACAATTTTGAGATATCTGTTATAAAAATTTGTAATTATCGATTTGACGAATACTCGGAACAAGAAGATGAGTTTGTTTGTCGATTGATCGATGAGAATTGGAAATATTTGCATCGTGGCATCCCTTGTGGAAAGGAAAGGTACTCATGGTAACCATTGGATACCGTCAGGGGGGCTGAATAATCGAAGTTCCTAGCTGAATAAATGTGTCCGTGATGCAAATCAGACGAACGTCGAGGTTGGTTTGAAATTCGAGAAGCGTAGCCAGATGGGGTGCTGAGTGTTTTAAATCGATATCGAACAGGAAGATCGGTAAATACTGCGATAGGATAGGAAGACGATCATTTGTTTTGTTACTTTCTCAAATTTCATTGTACTTTTTTTTTTGGGTGGAATTTTAAATAAGTATCGATAAATATAAATGTTTAATTTATACAAATATTTATAATATTTCATTTGAGATACGTGATTTGTTTAAATTATATATTTACAGTAGTTACATTTGCATGTGAAACATCACACGGAAGCGTCAGATTTTGTATAATTCGAAAAGGGTAAATTCGTTCGTTCAACTGTAGTGAAAATTCTCGTTAATAATGTAAACCAAGTTGGATTATGAAAAGGCGTTGAGATTGAACAATACGAATAACAAAACAAAGAAGTTAATCAAGAGGTGCGCCCTAACGAAACTCATTTCATTTCAATTTCGTGGGGTTGTTGGAATGTTAGATCAAGTACGCATTTGCAAGATTTAAAGGGGTGAACTGAAATACTTTCTGTGAATTTCGTTTAATTTCACTCGTAAATTACCAAAATAATTAATAGTAGTAAAGGTAATAATGCAAAAAATATAAAATAATAAAATAGAAATAAAATAAATCATGTTATATTAGCAACCACAAGTCATAAATACATGATGGTAAATCAGACTATGATCATTCATGTGAGAGTAAATACATTAATAAACAACACAATCTCCCATAAGGTGGGTACGATTAAAACCAGTGGCACGTGAATCGCAGTTAATTTATGTTCGTAGTCTACAACACGAGCCCTACCATTTTCATCCCCCTTGAAAATATTCTACAGGGATGCGGGCGACCCTCCCGATGAGCCTTTTATGTTCTCCTTCGTCTCTCACCCTTTCACTCATAAATTCTACCTAACCAAATATTGTTACCGACGACAGCGAGACTTGCACAATTTTATGACCAATGCATATCGTGGGATTCAATGGGATTTGCAATATACACCTCCATATAAAATACAATCTCGTTTCAATTGTATTTTTTTTCTTTCTTTTCTTTTTTTTTTTGTTAACTCACACACGAGTATACAATGTTTCCAATTTAAATGAAATATTAATGAAAAGAAGTTAATCCATACTTCGTGTATAAAATAAAAAATTGTTTTACTTAAATTTGATTACTTGAAAGTTAGTTGCATAGATTTGAATAGCCAGAATTTAGGGTTCAAGGAACTTAGTTGTAAGATAAGTGCGTGACCGAAAAGTTAGAAGTATTTTCACGAGTTGTTAGTTGGGTATGGTATAACTATGAAAGTAAGTACGTGTCTATGCAAACACATAAACGTACATATATATACATATAAGTACGTGTATCAACAAGCAGCACGATGAGGGCGGAAACACGTACGTGGGCGGACGTCGGCTTGGTGAACGTATAATGGTTACATCGTGGTATTCTTCTTCCTCGTGAGTGCCCCAGTAAACTGTGATGTTTATGCACATCGTTGCAACGATGCCGCAGAGAATACAATGCACCCACATTTCGATCATCATGGCACTTGTCTCTTCGTTATTCGTCTTCTTCGATTTCTTATTAAACGAATAATACAATGAAATACTTTTTCTTAATAGTATTTTTAAATACATTTTTATAAACATTATTAAACAATGTTTAAACTTACCGTATGTATATGTTTTATTAGCACGAGTTCAGTGACGAGGTCATTGTAGTTAAATTTAAATAGCCAATGACGTTGATGCAGATTATTAAATTAAAAAAAAAAAAAAAGATGATAATATAACACTGTGTACAGAGATATATATATTTGTATTGTTAACACTTTATATTTAATTAATAAGAAATATACACACATATATACTTGTGTGAAATTTTTAAAATAATTCTTTATTTTTATATGAATTATCATAACAAAGTATTCTATTTGTTAGTTCTGACCTAACGAGGTCATTGCAGTTGAGTTTAGATAATAAACGTGACGTTAATGAGGATTATAAAAGAAAATGTGAAAATATATTATGTCTATGTAAAGAAAGGGGAACATAATAAAACATTTCCAGTGTGTGTCTCTTCAACGTTGATGATGTATGTTGTTTCACATTTGATATCGCGTTTAATTAATTTGCGTTTCGTGATAGCGTAGGAAGAATGAACGGGGTTCTCTGTTTTCAGGCTCGTGGTGATGTCGCCTCTTTAGTACGGAATCTACTTGGACCAATTTATGGCGATGGTGTTATCAATTTGTTGATAAGACAGGCGCGAGACATCCTAGTATGCGCTTATCACGGAAACCTGGAGAACTTTGTAAAATCTTATCTTTCACCCGCCGCATATCTACTCTCAAAGGTGAAAAATGTTGCTTCAGAAACGGTAAGTTTATTTTTTTAAATTACAAATCTACATCTCACATTTCTTCATTATTATTAAATATAAATACACAATTAAATATAATAATACAAATTTCAGATAAATATTAATTGTAGATGACATTGTTGCATGTGTAAAAGATGAATTATTATCAGATTGATTATTTATTCAATTAGTATTAAATATTATAAACAAAAAAGATTTGATATTTAAGGTGTTAAATGATCGTTAGCCGATTAATTAATAACCATCCCCTGTAAAAGCATTTGTCGTTTGCGTCTAAAATTGAACAGCAGCGCTCCCTTTTCGTTTGACCCTTTTCGTAGGACTGAGGAGAGAGAATCTTAATTAACGCTCGCGGCTTCTATGGCAAAGTCGAGATATCGTTAGCTTGGTCCGACGCTTTTGTAAATGTACGAACTTTGTCCTACGTACATACTGTGCACTCCGATAAACCAAATTAACCCTTGAGAAGCCACGTGCTACTCTCTTGTCCTTTTACACACCCTTACAGACGAAATTGAAGGGTAACACCAATCTATGATGAATTTAGTTTAATAACGAATAATAAACAATTAAATATAAAATATTTAAAATATTTGCAAATCAATTTTATAATAAATGAAAGAGTTAGTTTTTCCAATATTTTTGATGAAACTAAAACATCCGTATTAATGTCCTAGTTTGGGTATCAACTATGGAAACAACCATTTTCACACCATTTGCATGAAAATAGGATCCTAATCTATTATTAGAACATCGAATGATAAAAAAGAGAAGAGACCTACTTTTGCGAGCTACACCTGCTTAATTATGTACCAAGGATTCTGTTATTAGGATACGTAAAAAAATCAATAGACATCCGGACTTTCTTTTCAACATTTTTTTGAACATCTTGAACCTACTTTTCTTATTATTAGATAGAAGTAGAAAAGCTGAGAATAACATTGAAAAGTCAGAAAAATAATGACAGTAGGGAGTATGAAACTTACTGAAAATCCGTGCGTCATAAGATTCCATAACGGTACTTTCTTCAAACTGATTGACAATGATCGAGGATTGTCAGGTTCGGTATATCAATGTCCCCATCTTCGCATATGTACGAATTTCTACTTCGTTATCCATCGATCTCCCCCTTTTTCCTTTTAACAAAGTTGCATTGCTAACTTTGTATATCGTGTGGTTCATTTTTCACATGCAAATTTACTAATAATTTTTTACACAAAAGTTTACTTTCATTATTCCTTGTCAGGTGTTCAGATTAATCCAATTAAATATAACAAATGAAAATTGTTTTGTTTGATAAAAAAAGCAAAAAAACAACAATGAAAGTATCACCTACTTAAATTTGAAAATATATTTAAAAAAAAGTAAATTCTCATGGCAAGTGAAGTCGTATATGTAAAAGATGTAGATTATATTGAAAAAGAAGACGCGGTTTGCTAAGGCTGTAATTTGAAGGAGGCCTCGCGAAGAAGTCGAATACCGAACGGAAGGAATTTCTATCCGCATGAGAGATTTTTCAAGATTCTACCACGTTCCTCCTGTTCCGTGGGACCGTTCTTAGGATAATCTCGACCTCGAAGAGAAATCCTTTTCACGCAGATGTTCCAGGAAACGCTTGGCATTTGTCCCAATGGCACACACGAGAAAGAGAAGAGAAGAGAAGAGAAGAGGAAAGACCGTGTCGATTTAATGGCCACCTAATAGGGTCAGCTGAGTGCACTCGTGTGCCTTAGGAAACTCTTCTCGCGAGAGAACAAGTTAGCGATGCCCGTTGTTTCACACGGCGGCGGCTAACCATAAGAGAACTTATACTCAAGAAGAATATTATGGTGTTTCGAGTTAGAGGTTGTCATTTCAAATTTACTACGATCAAAGTTCCTATAATGCATTTGCCGACTTGTTTAAATATTGAACCCCCTTTCAAAGGGATTCCAAATAATTCCGAAGTTAGAACAAGTGTACGTATAGGTTTGAGTATTTTACAACATATACGATTTAGTATTAATTTTCTTGTATTTTATCAATATTAAAATCCAAGTTTCTCGATATGAAATTACGCAATAAGAAACAAGAGGCAATTTCTAATGTAGCTCGATGGTTAAGCACTGTTTCGTGCGTGTTACAGCGTCGCACTTAGAACAGTGTAGGTATTTCCGACTTGGAAAGACTGGAGGCACGCGTTAGCTTCTGATGTTAGATCAAGATAAGATTAAATCTCCGCGGGTTGTCATCGTATCCGCGAATAAACGCAGTGGCCGCGGCTCTGAGGTAGTTGCGGAAGGTAGGTACTACATGGATATATACACACACATACGTGTGTTGCACTTGTTTCCGGTCTTTACTGCATTTACGTGATTTCCATTCTATAAGATCAACCGAAAGAATTACTTACTCATGTGCTCTTCTTCTACTAGTTTTTTCTTCTATGTAATATCAACTTGCTTTCTTGTTCAATTGCAATGATCCCAAGGAGGAGGAAATCAATTTCAATCGTTATTACAGCTATATTCTTTGAAGATGTTTCACACGGTACGGTGATAAAACGGTTATGGACCGTGACAACTGCCATTTTATTCGCGTAAACTTTGCTCAGTTTTTACTACAACACTCATTATGGGCCCTACATGGTTACGCCGTTTATTCGCTTAGTTTCACGGATCGGGAGAATCTTATCATGATTATTAAACAATATTTTTCATTCCTTTTATTATTGACCATTGGGGAGGTTTCAATTGATCTTCTAATATCCTGATAGAAAATTGATTTCGTTTTATTTGCTGATATATTTATCTATATACCTGTATACCTATATATCTATATATGGATATCTATATGTACTTGTATACAGGTATATTATATATCGAAGACCTGAAACCAGAGCAAAGGGAAAGAGTCGCGAAGAGACGCATTCATGTGTGTAGCAGTTAGCCGGTCAGTTCTTAAAGGAGATACAATTTTAATTGGAAGTCAGTTTCATCGCCTTTCACTTTGAAGTCCATCCTTTGGTTACCTGGTTGCCTATAAACATAGTAGTAGGTGTATAATATTCATTAGTTGTCTTCTATTTCAATTATTTACATCAACTTTTCAAATCACATCGTCAGAATTGAACTGTTGTTAACTATTCCTAAATCATTCCTATAATCCTGTCTACAATTCTGACCAATAGTTTCTCTTCACTTTACTAGGAATAATTTATAAAAATCATTTCTATATAAATTATATAACAATAGTAGAGGAAGATTTTCAATTAACAAGCACGATGATTGATTTGATATAAAACACACGTATGTAGAATTATTATTATTAATGTTAGTTGGATAGAAATAGAAAATAATATTTTCGTTAGTTGATAATAACAAAAGGTATTGTAGAGTCATGTTCGTTAGGTGGGTAGTATTGAAAAAGCATATATAGGAGCTTATGTTAGTCAAAGTATGCCGACAAATAGGGATGCCCAAGAAGTTTCCAGCTGGTCGGACGGTCGAGCTTCGGATATTATTAATTGAATGATCGCACCTTCGGCTACTCATTATACAGGACTTTAATTTGCTGCGAGAACGGTCTCGGCCAAGTTGTTGGTCTCCCACCATCAATGTGTTACTACCTTTTGTTTCTTTTTATCATTCTATTTCTCTTTCTTTCTTTCTCTTTCATTTTCAATGTATTATGTGCACCGAGAGTGTATACTACTACTTCGTCGTTATCGCCGAGTCGGAAAACGACTTGCGATTCGCGAAACTCGCACTTGCGGAAGCCCATTACACCGCCTTGTAATAAGCACCTACCCACCATCAACGGTGCACCGTTCAGGAAGAACTTTCGTATATAGTACTTGCATCCAACAAACATTTTCTCTTTTCCTTATGCCTCTCTTTTACCCCAGGATTCGCTTTGCGTGTATCTATCCGGTCCCGTAGACGGGAATATGCTTGCTAGGTATCTCGTTACCTTCCTTAACTTTTGCTAAAGAGAGAATGAAATAAAGAAAAACAGACAGACAGAGAGAGAGAGAGAGAGAGAGAGAGATAAGGACTCGTGTCGATGGGAAGGATAGATTAAGCTGCTAATCCATGCCGCTTGGTTACACACTCTCTAAGCTACCGTGAAACGTTTCATTACGGTTCTTTTTTTCTTATTATTTTCTTTTTTTTCGATTCTAAATTTGTACTTTGTATCTCTTACGTTTCGTAATAATCTATTCGATGACGACGACAACGACGTTGCATCATTTTTTTGATTTTCTTTATTCATTGCAAGTGTTATCTTGGAAAGTTTCGTATCTCTGGTGTTGGGTTGTTCTCAAAGATTTTGATTTGAAATTAAATATTCGTAGGTTTTAACAAATTTTGTTTTTATATTGTAAAAAATGTACACGTATTAGAAAGTAAAATTGATATAAATTGAATTAAAATCTAGTGTCAATCATACGTGATTATCTGCATTGAATTTAATTTGATACGATTCAAATCAGTTTAGTCGGTTTCATCAAATTTATGTAAATATTATGTAAATGAGTGAAACAACAACAACAACAACAACAACAAATAGAAAAAAAAAAATCGAATACGGGTGAATAGTAACGATGGCAGCAGAAGTTAGCGTGGGTGCGTTGGTTGAAATCTACGCAGAGAAAGTTAACGAGAATGTTTCACATTAGTCGTCCGAGTATAAACTATTTTTATGAAAGGAATACACGCGCCAAGGCAAATCGTATCGGAATGATATCTCTTCTGACTATCATTACTATCTTGGCGTATCTCGATAGTTGGAAAAGCGCAGCACGTCGCTCTATGCATTGCGCGCTATGTACACTGCGCTATGTAAATCAAACGACTCTCGCCATTTCGCTTCAATTTTCTTCTCTTTTAAACACGCCTGTGTAAAATTGATTTCGATACGACGACGACGACGACGACGACGTTTCACTGCATATACATGTCTAGTTATAGAGGGTAAATGAAATATATATTTAATGCACATGTGTGTATGCGTTC